AATAACAATAAACGACGAGAACGCTGTTAAAATCGCATTTAATCGCGGAATACCACTATTTTTTTAACTGGTGGCGCCACCCGTGGCGAATCGCTGAAACTGCTAGCCATATAATTGGGTAGCAGTTTCAGCGATTCGCCACGGATGGCGCCACCAGTCAAAAAATAATGGTATTCCGCGTTTAAATTTGATTTTAACAATGTTCTCGTCGTTTATTGTTGCTGTCAACGACAGGGCATTAATCTACGATCTTTAAGCTACAAATAGAATGCTTGCTCAACCCGAAAGCTGTTAGTATGACGTTGTGAGAGTTGTTCAAAGTGAACTAAACCGGGGTACGCATGACGAGATACAATGTCAACCGTTGCAAATAAATGTGATTTTAACAATGTTCTTGTAATCACTGGTTTCCAGTCGCTAGAGAGAACTAATCTACGTTGTTCAAACTTCGAATTTAATGCGTGACGAGTCTTTGATTGGAATATGAATGCTGCTGGAAGTATGAACATTTTCACAGGAGAATGATATAAATGGAACTTTAAAACTTTTTGAAGTGTTACACTGATATTTCTTTATATGTTCCATAATTTCAATAATATTGATTTCCCCGCAACATTCATAATTATTACAAATGTCAATATAACGAAATATCTTTTATGCGATGTTTGTGGTGTAATAAAAATCTGTTTCGATTACGTTTTTGATACGTATTACTCACTTATATATAATAATAGAGAATAAAAATATACTGTTAGTCCGATAATTGAAAATATACATGCGTTCGTTGTCACTGTTAAACTGTTGTGATAACAATGGAATAATAAAATAATTTACTCAAATATACATAATAATACATACACATATTCATAAAAACAATATTAAACGCAATAACTTTTTTGTACGCAAAAAAAAAAACCAATAGGTCCGTCGGGACTCGAACCCAAGATCCCTTTCTACATATTACGTCTACCGGAAAAATAGTAGGCGCCGAATGTTAACGTATCTTAACGATTTTTATCTCAAAAAATTGCTCCCAATTTGCTCCTTCCGAACCTGGTATTGCTTCCACAGCACCGTTAACAGTTAATGAGATATTCGCAAAAGAAAAAGTAAAAATTTATTGTTAACAAAATAGGTAGTAAACGGCTTTTTAAGACAAATATTATGGCACCAAAAAATTGCTCCTGATCTGTTTTATAATAATCTATTATTTTATAATAATAGACGTCCGTGATCCCGTGTGGAGAGATCGTGGGGTCATAGAACCCCCGCAGGTGGCTACAGAGACCTCAAGTGGTGTCATCGTGGTGTCCTAGAATCCCGCAGGTGGCACCAGGGACCCCGTATGGTGAGACCGTGGGGTCACAGAGCCCCCGCCGGAGATGTCAGTGATCCTGTTTTGGTGCGAGCGTGGGGTCATACAACCCCCGGTGGAGGCGCCAGGGTCCCCGTGTGTATGAGTTATACCCTCGCGAGCAAAGTTATTGAGATATCTGACTATTGATTATTATAAAACAGATCAGGAGCAATTTTTGGGCGCCATAATATTTGTGTAAAAAGGTCATTTACTACCTATTTTGTTAACAACAAATTGTTACTTTTTCTTTTGCGAATATCTCATTAACTATTAACAGTGTTGGGGGAGCAATTTCAGATTCGGAAGGAGGAAATTGGGAGCAATTTTTTGAGATATAAATCGTTAAGATACGTTAACATTCGGCGCCAACTATTTCCGGTTATATAATTGTATGTAGAAGAGGGACGTTTAGTAATATACATAAAATGTTTGTACCTTTTGCGTGGGGAATCTTTCCGTTCGTGACTTAAAAGCAGCATGATAGATTTTGCACTTCTTCTCTTCATCCTTTTTGGGAATGTTTGTATAATCTCCCTCATAGTCATCAAATACAAAAACGTTCTTGTAATATTTGTAAGGATTCGATTCTTTACATGTTCGCTTGAAACGTTTCTGCGACTCATAGGCCAAGTTTCCAACGTCTGTTTGATAATCGCTGGGAGCTGGAAGGTAAACGTGCTTGCTTAATACAGTATCACCAGTTCTACTTTATTGTGAAACGAAACGTTAAAATAAAGGAAAAACTATTAAAACGTTCTTATCCTTCGCATATTCTTTCCTTTACACGCGTGTCTGACACAAGTGGTCTTATTCTACTTTGAAAAATCCTACTCTACTAATTCAATAAACTTGTATCATTTAATTGATTAACCGACAACGTTTCATATGAAACACACAAAATTGCATCTAATGACAACACTAAAATTAATATTTCAAAAGCAAATGAAATTCATACACTAATTAATATACTGACGTTACATGTACGATTTTCTTGTAAAAAAACTGATACAATATTATTCTCTAAATGTTAATAATGTATTACTCGGTCCAGGTTCTACAGTAATTTTCTGAAAACGGCCAGCATAAGAATCGAATGGGGCATTACAAATAGATGTTACGCATTTCATTCGATCCTCGGGGTCGTACGCTCCAGGACCTGGTGTGTCTGATTTCACCTTATCGTGGAATCTCTAAAACAAAATTTTGTTTCAGACACAGGCATTCAATATCTTTAAAACAAATTTCCTCGGGTGTATTACTTTTGCAGTTTGTGCGAATGCGGGTGATTCAACTAGATAAGGGTCACATTTGCAGACTGTCTTGAGGTATCTGTCAAACGCACCTTTCACGTTGTAGCTGTTCGGGGCTGGAATGTTCTGCGCGTAAAAATTCACCCTGAACATTTTCAATTACAAACAACTTCCAAAAAGTTACCACGCGACGAATTTAGTCACGGTTAAAAGTTACTTCGAGCATTTTTCTTCTGTACAGGCTGTCGAGGTAGCGTAGCTGTTTGGAAGCGCCCCTTTTTGCCTCCCTTACTTTCTCGTCACGTATCTGAGCCGCAGTTTTCTTCGTGTCGTGCTCGTAATCTCCTGGACTAGGAGTCAAAGAGGGTCGTGGTTCGGTTTTGCCTGTCATTCTGCTCCAGAAGTTTCCTTTATACTTCAGTGTAGTATAACACGTTTCCTAAGAATTGTATCGATATATTAATGTCACTTAACATTTCATTCTTTATGGTGTTTTCTATATCACAGAATGGGTTTTCTTAAATTATTTTAGTTAATAAACCGTGAGTACCCCGCGAGGAATATTGTAAAATTCAGGCGGCTCATGTCTGATTGGAGGATTTTTTATGAGAACACCGTATTGGTTGATATCGTAACCGGTGTCAAATTTTCCTGGGATCGTCGTAGATCGGGGTAAAGAGGAACGAGGTGGCGGAATTACCCAAAGCTGGCGAAAACCATTAATTAGAAGCTTCCAAAAAATGAATGAATTATTCTGGAATTGGAACAATTACTTTTCCAACAGATCCTCTGAATTTACAAGGATGAGATCTTGTTTTCTGAGGCTTGAACAAATCCTCGGACAAATCATATACTGGACCAGGTCCTTCGTGTAGTCTGTATTTGAACCTGACATCGGTGAAGTCAATACTGACACCACCCTAAGATTATTGGTATTCTTGTTAAACACTGTTCAAATTTAATTCATAAAATTTTCAAAAACTACTTTCTGGTATGTGTTTTCGTGGTCCTTTTATGGTGTAAGAGCCAGGACCCGGCGTTCGCTCTGCATCCTTCGATATTGCCAAGGTTTCCCTTTTTGCTCCACAGAGAAAGGGATAATTTTCAGCTAAAAACAAATTACACCATGCTTCGTTATGTTTAAAGGCGTTCTGGATGATTCATAACCGTACTTAGAAGTCTAGGTGGGCAAGATAGATTTGTTGGATCATAGGTTCCTGGACCAATATCGGCAGGCGTTTGGGAGGTCAGTTTTGAAAATCTTTCAACCTTATCGTAAGCCATATTCTACCAGAATGTGATTTAGATGGAATTTATAACCTATTCGTGCATTCATGCTAAGAGAAGAGGAAAGACAATGGACAACCTAATTCTTCGATGATCGACGTCTCTCTTGACCGTAATAATCTGCAATTTCCCTTTATTTCATGGTGGCATTTCGATGTATTATCGTCCCGTTCACCGAATTGAAGTTCATTATTCGCATTGCATCACGATCGAAGAGGCACGCAACAAGAAAGTGGTCTTGCATGGCAAAGCGCATCAGATAGGATTGGTACGGACTGACTGCTTTCACTAATGAATCATTTCGGCGCGAAAAAACGTTATTTGTTTACGATAATTGTAACGGCGTTGCGTTCGCGCCTCGAAGGACGCTGTTTTCACTTCTTTAACCTACTTTTTTACAGCCTTCACCTTGCATAAATTTTCGGCCGGGCCAGTTAATAATTTCGTACTCGTTATGCGAAACCCATTCGCATTTTTGACGCTGAAATAAGAGATTATCGTTTGCATCAAATTGAAAACGCCATATACACGCGCGCTCGAATACATCTGGGAAATGCGTGTGCGCGCGGCTGAAACTGGAGTGGAGGTTTCTACGACGAATTAACTGGAGTGTTTTGCAAGTGATATCGCGTTTTATTGCATCATTCGATGAACGATGAACGTATCAAAGAGCGACCGTGAAGAATTATCGTTTCACGTAACGACAACGTTTCTCTTGGCGCTGCAATCTATTCCAGTGATGGGTAACTCAGCGCTCGTCAAACTCAAGAATCCCAATACGCAAATATGTCTGCGATAAATCTGCCTCGGTTGCCGATCACTGATCTATTCGTTAAATTTCATTGATCCGATAGCTCCTCCAGTAACATAAATAAAACTAATCACTTATAGAAGTTTTTCGTGCATAGAAATTTTATTCGAGTACAATGAATATAATTACATTTAATTATTATTTTGTATAGATGAAAAAGATGATCTATAGATCACTAGCCTTATTTCTCTAGCGATGAGTTCGCAGTATGTCAGAGGGCACCACGTGTACCATTCGTAAGCGTGTTTGGTCGATAATTCGAGATGTTTCGCACTGGAAACGAGGTGTGGTAACAAGGTACGCTGTTTTTTAACGTCAGTGAGAAACGTTTATCGTGTGTAATTCAGTGATTTGAGGTTCGTTTTTGTGTGAAACTCGACGAACAATGTGGAATGATAAGGAAAGGTTCGACGGGATGTTGTTGGCTTTGGCCCAGCAGCACGAAGGTGGTGTACAAGATGTGAGTGACTGTTTGTTTGCCGGTTTAGGTTATGTTTCATTCGTGTGATCAACGTTAATTTGAGAATAAGTCACGAATTACTTAAAAAAAAACCATTGTTTGATTCACAGCTGTTAGACACGATCTTCAATTTCCTCGCGAGAAAAACGGATTTTTATACGGGTGGCGGCGTAAATGGTGCGGAAAAGGTAAATCCTTTGTCAGCCATAGACAATAATGTTACATATTACACCTTATCTGTGATATTAGTAACATGTGAAATACGTAGTATAGTTATAGATGCTTTGCCTCTATTATATTTCAGCTTCTCCTTAATACATTCGAAAAACATGTACCCACTGCTCGTACAAAAGCTGTCATTGAAAGAACAACATCCGGACACAAAGAAGCGTTGGAAAAGAAGAAGCGAAAAGAGAAGGATGAGGAGGAAAAAATTAATTTTGAATCTAAGATTGTCGAACTGACAGATGAACAGGCTGCTAAGTTACAAGAAGAAATAAATAAGGTTTGTTTAATACTGCTGACTATGATTCGTGCATATGTATATTCTTCTTAATTTTATTTGTCCTCTTGTCTTAGAAAACAGAGGAAGAAGCACCCGCAGTTCCTGGGCCTAGCGGTGACAATGCTGATGCTGAGAAGAAGAAGGAGGAGAACATGGAGGAGGACGAAGAAGAGGATGAGAAAGAAAAGAACAAACTTAGGCCTAATAGTGGAAATGGCGCGGACCTGCCGAATTATAGATGGACTCAGACCCTGCAGGAACTGGAGGTGAGTACTTTTAAGACTATGCATGAGAATTTTAGGGTTTGTAATTTCTTAATTTCATTTATTAACCAATATAATACTGGACCAAAGTATATTTTTACTATTGACAAGTCATGCTCAGTTAGTGATTTCACATACGTTTTATTTATCCGGGCGAGGATAGGGAACAGGTGAAATAAAACAACGTTCTCATTCCTTATGGTTTTGACAGTTTCTTGTTGAATCGACGATTAATTAATACGCAAGTAATATCACAGTTGCGAAAAGCGACCGGCGCGATCGCTCCTCGTTGCTTTTTCCGTACAATTCCTAGAACGACACCCCGACGGAATCCAGGTTTGATTCAGGCGTTTTGTTAGTAACAATTAAATAACGATCCCTAAGTTAACATCCGCTTATATCTTACTCCCGCCTCGTCGATTGCTCCTCACTGTCCGTCAACGTTAATCGAAGAAGTACTATTTATGTGTGTCTCGCGCACGAGACTTTCGAAATTTCGTTGATAACGACGATACCGTAACCATCTAACGCGTTACAACTGCATCGTGTCGGTTCTCCACTTAACTCTGTTCGAATCGCTCCATTGGCTTTGTTCACGATCTCAAGATCGTTCGGGGAGAACCGATCCGAATGGAACGAGAAAGCTGTAGCCTATACACGCATCGAATCTTATTTAAAAAGAGAAAGGAAACATGGTGATATAAAGGTTCTACAATACTCGTCGAAGTTAGAGGGCTCGCCAGCCCTCACGTGGAATACTCGAGGGCTCCAACGAGATAGGATCCGCGTTGAGCTATCTGTGTATCCGCGCATACTAAAACTAAGTTCATTACATGAATGTAATTACTGAGTTTTCACGTACCGCACGTCGAACACGGTGCAATACAGCCTTTGAAACATTATCTCGAATCGAGAACGTCTAATCGAGCTTTTTTTTTTACCCTAACGCTCTAAGTGGTCAGAATATACATGTACAGTGGTATAATACGAATAAATCGGTCGCTTCTGATCAGGGACGTTCGGTTTCAGTTCATCCGCGTCTACTAGGGGAACGATTTACGGTCCCCATGTTTCGTTGTCCGCGTGTTCTTCCGTTTTGTTCGCTGTCTCGCAGTAGATCCAAACGTCCACGGTCACCCGACTGCTAACCTCGGCTTCGGCCTAGTGATACTTGTCGCGAATTCTCACTGGAACCAAAAGGAAATAACACGGAGACCGGTGGAGGATTCATTTAAACACAGCGACGTTAATGAGGAATTGAAGAGCTCAGTTTTAATCAAATACAGAATTTTAACATAGTTGTGTCAAACCTAGTGTAACAGAACCGTGAACATTCGTAAAGTCGTCGCTCTGGTGATTTCAGTGCGTGGTAAGAACATTACCACTGGACTCCAGAAGACCATGAAGATGATGATCAGTTTTTGTATGCTGTACAACTTAGTGTACAATGGTTAATTATTAGAAAGAAATCTTGAAACATATATTAACAAAATACTATTATAGAAACCACGAATCTTTTGGCTCGAACTTATGAAGACAATGTGTGATAAGACATACACAAATTCATTTGTGTCCATTCAGTAAACTCTCATCCACGTCACAACAGTTCTAATTGGACACGAATTCCGAGAAGATCAAATCTACCTAAGGAAGCTCTTCAATTAGGGAACAGTGACTGGAGAATACTCACTTTCCATGTAAAGGATCCCAAGAAGCAGGCCGACCATGAACAGGAAGCTCATCGTGCATACGAGCACGGTGAGCTGGTGTCTCGCGCAGCAGGACTTCCTATAGACGGTGGTGGGTCTGCCTAGACCGTTCACGACGGTGAAGTGGGTGCTGCTCGCGACCGATGCGGTGTCCGTCTGTTTCGGCGCCGTCACCGTGGGCGGATGAATAGCTGCGAGATTGGCCAGGTTCGCAGCTGTCAATAGCAACGTGCCCGACGCGGCACTCTGCAACAGACGAGGGTGACGATGTAACGAACGGTCAGCGAATTTTCGAGTCGAAATCGCGCGAAACGCCTGCGGTCCTCCTCGACACGATCGCGGTCAAATTGTAATTGATGAATTTATGGACACGTGTGAGAGTCGTGAAAGTTGATGTACCGTCGAACCTTGTTGGAGTCTTGTCGGTGGTTCACGGTAACGTGAGAAATTTCTTCGGGGAAATCTGAAACGTCTTGTACAGTCCAGGAGGTCTTCGTAATCGTGATACTCCTTTGGTACAAACTGTTTAACATTACTTCTAAAGTCTTGGAAGACTCCAGTGCAGCAGTTTGAGTCCTGTTGCTCCATTAATGATAATACAAAGAAGATACAAACCTATTTAAATGACGCTGGACAACTTCTGATGGGTTCGTGGGATCAGAGACGATCCTATGAACCTTGTTCGAACAGAAATGACCTTAACGTTACCAAAACAGATTTGGAATACTCAAAACTTTTCCAAGAATCATACTTGATATCCAACAAACCCATTGCACTCGCGTTTTCTCTAAATCCTCGTAAACCTGTAGCAGTATGTCTTCGTTTCGTTGTGTAAGACGGTTGTTCTGGCAAGTAGTCAGCTATTCCACCGAGAGAGCATTTCCACCGCTCGTCGGTAGTACATAAACGGAACAAAAGAACCGTGATCCGTAAATCGGTTAGTCCGTCAGGTCTACGTTCGTCAGACAATTCGTTGTCCGTCGTATGAATTCCGTTGCTTGGACTATCCCCAATCGTGATCTCGTTGGACGTGGAGACTCTCGCTTACGTGTGTACTGGCGGTCGAGCCTTGCGAGGACGTGGATCCCCGGGAAGGAGAGTTCGGGTGGAGATGATGATGAGCCCAGCTACCATTCTCGCTGTCCCTCTCGCTTCGTCCGACCAAGGACGGCCTTGGTATGTGCCAGGAAAGCGGGCTACCCGCTACCGCCGTCGTGGCCGCCGTCGCCTCGATCTGAAACCAACGTAAATCGACGTGAAGCTTTTGATTGCATAAGCGATAATGTCGCGCCGATTACACTTCTGCCTTCGCCCGCATGTCCTTCCACCTGCGACCGCGTGTCGTTTATCTGTCGCCGTTCGAACATTACTCTACATGCAGTTATACGCGGCCAGGGTATCGCCGTTCCATCTGTTCGACGCGAGCACCGACCGCGAGCGATCGGGATTGACCAATAAGCAGATTAAGTGGCCACTTAAAACGGTGTATTTTAAGCAAAACCGAACACCCTCCGCGGCCCATTACCTTTTAGAGTTCCCTGACACATCTTTCCCTGGTCTCTACCGCGCGAATTTAAACGTCGAAAAAATGTAAACGTCGCGAAATTAATTAGCCACATGAACGTCGTCGCCACTGGAAACCCAGCTTACGCGATTTTACGCGATAATAAAGCGCGCCAATGAGCCGGGAGAGAGTAAGAAAGCATTGTATTCAAACGTTCTAAAGAGTGTCGCAACCCCGTTCATTGTTCTAGCCTGGTCCCATCTGCGGGTAGCCTTATTGTCTGTTTCAACGACGACGAAATACACGGCGGATGATGCACCGAACGAAACCACGTGTCGTCCCTTCTAGAATCTTGTCCGTAGTGAGAAAGAGAGAGAAGAGAGAGTCGTATCCCTTCACGATATTCCAGGGCATTAGAACGATAGATCATTGGTACCAATCGTCCATTCTTTGTAACACAACGATTGCGCACGCGAGTTGGGATCAATCGAGTATGACGTATAGAGGAACGAGTGGTTTCGGGATCGCTCCCACTTTTCCACGAAGGAAGAATTTCGTCGGTCCAGTGGGCCCACGCCGGGGGCCCGGTCTCTCGACATTCCGGTTTGCTCGTTGCACAACGACGCGATATACTCTCGAATTCTGCTGTTGGACCCGTTGCTGGTAACGTTCTACGTTATTTTTTGCGTTTCGTCGTTGTTGTCGTCGTCGTTGCGCGTTTCCTCGGTTCAGCGAAGCACGGTCCCAAGGTGCACGGCCGCGAACATTTTCAGGGCCAGGCGCCAAACCTGCGGACCATTTCCGTGATTCTCTGACACTGGAAGTTCTCCCCCCCCTACCTCCCCCTCATTGACCACGTACGTACGCGTGCGCGTACACACCGATTACGCCGGTTAATTGGCCATTTTCGCACGTAAATCAGCCGCGTTTCGCACCGCGGTGGCCTACCTTCGCCGTTGCCCACCGGCCGCCGCCCAAGGTCCGAGGTCTCTCTCTCTGCCTTCTTTTTCGTCCCCCCCCCCCCGCGCGATCGGTTTTTCAAGCGGGCCTATGCTCCAGATCGAAGGTGTATCGGCTCTAATGGAACCCAGCATTGGGGCCCGGAGACCGTCCGAGACAGGATTTATGCGTCCTGTCCGGGCGTGGCCGATACACAGAGAATAACGTGGAAGCAGCCTTGTCCGGTGCATTTTTGCCGATCCCGATCTTCCGGTACTTGCACGAAACGAGGGCCGAGGGCAAAGCGTCGGCTCGATCGGGCCGCTGATCTTTGCGAACAATTCCGATCGATCCGATGACGCAGATCGATCGGGAACCTTCGACCATGGTATCGTTAACCCTTCGATTAACCTTGTGGCCAAGTTCGTCTAATGATTATTGTGAGAAGGGATGTTTTCGATGATATATTGTTCATCGTAGAATTTTCAAGTTTAAAATGATTGAATTGCATCGAGTATATTGAAATTAAATGCCGCGACCTGCATCTGGCGCAACAGATCCTAGACAATGGAGAAGTAGAACGGCAACGAATCCGTCGGGAACCGAAGTTTCATAACTGAATCCCGATACTCGACAGAGCGCTGTGTCGCCGGTGACAGGTATTCGTTGCGCGGCGCTCGGGTATGTCTCGAAATTTTTGCCCGACACGAGAGGTCTCAGCCCTGTCGGTGGGAGATAGAGACGCTGTTGCTCGGCCCAGAAACGAGAAGGAGAGAATGGCCGACGCTCAAAGAGAGGCGTCGTGAAAAATTTTTGTGGAATTCAATACAGTGGTCAGCCTCGAAGCGCCGCACCTGTGCCGGGCCCACGTAATGCGACACTCTTGATTTTTTACGCTGACCGCTTATTTCTCTCCGGGACTGTGCGCGCGCGGGAGATTCGAACAGTTATTCTGGCCTCGATCGTCTTCCCACCGTGTTTGGTAGGTTGGTCGAGTGTGTTAACAACGGGAAGACAGAGTCGTGAGCAATCATCGTCGAAAAGAGCAAAGTTAAACAAAAAACCCCTTCGGGATGGTGGGATCAGGAAGTATTAAATTCATTAGTTAATCGATATTCGCCTCATTCTGCCGGATCGCATTACTCTCTTCTGGTTTTTAAATAACCATGATTCGGCGAATTTAAGTAGACTGAAGTGTCCGTGTCTCTTTTTGCCGGTCCATTCGCTTTTTGTTTGCTCGGTCCCGATCATTTATGCAAAAATTCCCGTTCGCCAGTGGAAGCCGGTGACTCGATTGGAATTTAACTCGGAGCAATTTAATTCGTTAACCGGTTGCATTAGGTTCGATTGCGCGCGAATCGAGAAGATTCATCCGGGAACGGACACGTCAGTACCCACCACCCTCGGGCTACGTTTTCTCGTTACAAGTCGGAACGCTTGAGGTTTGCCGCGGATTAGCGCGCGGCACTAATGAACATCGTCCGAACGGGTGCGTGAACATATGATCATAAAAAGATATATGTTACAAGGTAGCCGATAACAGACTCCGTGGTTTCACCTTGTTCATTCGGAGGCACGGATGGCTTTCGTTCGTCAATGAGACTCGAGGGGCATAGGAATGTAGTTCGTGAAAATGTTTCCTTGTCTTTGATTTGTGGCCATTGTACGCCTTCTATGGAGCTTCGATATATAAATATGTTAATAGAGGCGGTAGTATTCTTGAATTTTTAAAGAAAGAAAGGTTTTCGACAGTTTGAATGGAATAATTAAATTGAGAGCTAAGAGTTCGGTCGACGGATCCTTTTGAACTCGTCCCTTCTTTCTGGTTCGTTCCCTTATTGCGTACCTTCGATTTTGAAATTTTTTGTCGCGAGAAACTTTAGAAATACAATCCCTTCTCCATACACGGATGGTTCAAAGTTCCAAACAGTTTCTTTCTTCGTCGCTTAAATGTCGAAAATGAACAGAGTACTTTATGTAAGAATGCTTTTATAGTCGGGGATTCCCAGCTCCGACTAGAGAACTGTGCAAGTCCCCCTCTCCACGCACGCTGTCCGATGTCTGGACAGTAAGCTTCTTTTTTCCTGGACACACCTACGATCGAGCAAACCGGATTTTCTATACTGTCGCGGCGCGTTCACCCTTTCCGTGTACGTCGACCTTAATATTTCGCCGTCCGATGATTCTACTCCTAGCCACGCGTTCAAATCACCTCTCGTTCGTATCGCATTACTCACGATTTTATTACGCGAAATCAACCTGCACAGGTCGTTTCAGTTTTGTCATTGACATTTCTATTGTTCCATCGACTACAATGTCTCTCCATATAAAACACACGGATCCATTAAACGTTAGATACCAGTTTACTCGAGTTTCTTTCGACCGACAGATCGCAGTGCCTATCATAGACAAAGCTCGTTGTCCCTCTAGACTTCGTTCAAGGATGTCTCTAATAACAGCCGACATTACGTTCTCTCGGTTGATATAATGTAACGCCTTAGTTACGTCGGTGTCAGGTAACAATCAGAGGGAGTCATTACACCGGCCAGGCTAGTTAAGGTGAACGCAATCAAAATCGCGCGCGAACGTAACCACTTCGATCCGGATCGACCGTATCCTCCCTCGCGAGAAAAACTGAAGTGAAAAAAATGAATGTAACAACGTCTCGCGACGCATAGTAAGCAGCGATTTTATGAATCGTGCAACCTATTATTTACCACTATTAAAGATGAGGAGGCAATAATTTTAGTAATGCGCGAGTTTCGACACATTCCGGCATCTTCGCGCGCTAGTCGGCCCGGTTTTCGCGGCTCGATCCTCGTCACGGGTAAACGTTGCCACACTGAAAACATAAATCTAAGGCCCCCTTTTGCCGCGCGATCGTCTACATATTTTGCAACGTGCCTGGCTCATTATATCGACTATTGCACTCCGTGCGCTAGCGCGCGTTATGTTTACCGGTCTCGCGCCGAGCTGAGAAAGAATCGGAGTCGTTCGATTGCGATCATCTGCTAGGCGAATCCTCTCGCGTTCGATCCGTATCATCTGGCATCATTTATAATCGACACTTCGCGGACACGTCGACGAAAAGTCCTTGAAACAACTCTGTTCCGTCTAAAGTCTAGACTCTGAATCGAACACGAACGTGTTGCACGGAGTTACGAAACGGATTCGGGAACGAGGGGAGCTTTTTACAGCTCGTGAAATCGGCTGCATGCCTCCTGTCGAGCTTCGCGATCTTACCAACTGTCCAATGTTTACGATCTTGTCCTATTATCTTGTTTTATCGGCGGGATCGGTTATTAAATCGTGTATGGCGCCGCGTTGACTTGAGAGAAGTCGACGTATGAAATATTTGAACATTGGATAACCATTGGGAACGTGTCGTCCGGTGTTCTGTTATTAACCCTCCGCAGGCAAACGTATTTCTTTATACTTCGTAGGCTAACTGGGTTGTTTATATCCAAGTCTAGTTTTTTTACTGTTTCAGGACATAAAAAGATCTGAAAAAATTCTGAGATACTCACGAAAGCCTGTACCATATTAAATAATATTTCGTTAAGTCAAACGTTTAAAACTTTTTTCAATAAAAGCACGAATACGGAGGAAAGTCCGGGAACAATAGGATTTCACTTGGGTCGTCAACGACCTACGTTGCCCACTGCTCTGCGCTGTACCATTTACTGCAATCTCATCTTGCGAATAATACCAAAAATAGTAGACTCTTTCAATTGAAACGATCTGTATATCTTCTATAGAAATCCATACATACGAACTTCCCGGTGTTTAAA